ATGCTTCTCTTATGTAAACTTGTTATATCTTGTGGCCGAGTGGATGCCCAGTTAATGTATGACGTGATAAGACCGCCAGTCAGAGGGCAGCGAATTATCGATTGGAACAGTGACACACGAAAACCTAGAGTACGTATCGGTCCTGCTTTCTGACTAACCCAGTCAGTTAAGTCCAGAAAACCAATAGCAGCCTCTCTAATATGAATCATTATTCTCAAACATACTGAGTTTATATACCAAACAGACTGACCACATCGTACCAATAAAGTAGAAAATAACATTTGTACAAGTGTTAGCCAAATGTGGCTGTGAATGGGGGAAGCAGTAACTAATAGACTGGGTATAACTCAGGAATGGTAAATCATACAAAAATAGTGCAAGGGTCAAAATAAAGCTCGCAATGAAAGGAACATAAAAATGAGTAGTTTAACTATTTAGCAAATATACGATAAAAATTATGTGCATAATATTTGACGTACGAACTCACTACATAATTGGCGACCGCAACGAGCGAACACAAATCAAAAATGAAACCGCCGACGACATATTTCGTTGATTCTAATAATCATCATATGCTCATTATTACAATAATGTCATATCATCATCTAACGTGGAATTATTATTTTTGCTCGTATTCACATTAAACTATGACATTCACGCAGTCGAATCACTAATCGAACAAATTATAATTATTTGGACATTACACGTTATCATATTCGAAACTCACTGGATTATTTTTATTATCCAATGACGTACAATTTTCCTGATTCAAGTGAGTTCGTTCCAATTTTTTCATGTCATTTTCGGTCTAATATTACACTCTATCATAGACATAAGTTTGGAGTCACACTCTCGATAGTAGGAACTTATGTTCTCGATAGACAACTAATGTTCATTCATTTCATTGGTACGCAGCAACCGTCGTTTCCTACATTTTCAGCGACAACCTAGACCGAACTTCCGAAATTTTTGTTTCACTATGATCCCTATTCTAATGTCTACACAAATCAAGTATTCGACGCCGCATTACCAGCCGATTAGTAATGATTATGTTCATATTATCTATTTATTCACATTTATATCTGAATGCTGCATCATCCATCACTATTCGATCACTGCAATTAATATTCTATTCTCAATGCACTGTACACCAGAACATAGAGTTTAGAGCTAGTCTCTCAAAGATACACTCTTGTTCGTCACATCCAAGTCAGTCTCACTCGCCGTCATCGATAATTATAAGTATTGGTATTTTTGTTATGCATTAATACGGTTTCGTAACAAACGAGGTTGAGCGCATATCCCTCTAACGACATAAACCACGCTAGGCTTCATGACCAAAAAGGAATACTACTCCGCATATCTCGTCTCCGCAGTCACAATCCTGTTCCTCTGGTCATTCTACTAATACATATTTAACGATAACTTAACGCAAGCGACAACGCACACTGACTTCGCATTTTATTATCATAATCAATTGCAGTACACAAATGAATACCACCTGTTGATGCAGTCATCATCCTATGGTTGGATTATTTCTTATTCCACACAAACTTCAGTTATATAAATTCGAATACACTCATCGCCAATCGACGCTATTTACTCTACTGCGGCTAATCAGAACATATTTCTCTGTTCTTTATCCTCATATTCAGTCAGCACCACAGAGCAATTACTGTTATACTCTATTTTCGCGATATTTCGAATCGCTCATACGAACATCTTATTTTATCATCCGGACAGTCACGACATAAACGCATATTAAATTTCATTGTACGCTTACTAATGTACTCATAATCACATGCTAGCATTTCAAATTTTGTCCGCATCTTGACAATATTCATGTACATTTTTACATAAGTATGACACCTTCGTTTAATACGCTCACCCCACTTGACACTGTAATTTATCAGGTATTGTACAATTTTTTTCCCTACATGTTGACACTATTAACATACCACTTCAGTGTTATTTTTCGAAAACAGACCTTCTTTATAAATGTGCTATTTTCTACAAGGGGGCTTTGTAGTATCAGTTTATGTGTTAAGCCCATATACTTTATTCTAGTTGCTGGCCAAGCCAATTCTCCTATCCATTATGAGTGATATTTTGATCTTGTTAATTATTCGCTTATTAACCTTGACTATACTTTTATATGTGTACACTTCGTATCTTATTCATCATATGTCTGTCACTCATTTTTGCCTGCCTATAAATGTTAGTTAACGCTTGCTTAAATTGAGTTGGCTACCCAGCCATCTCCAATACGCATTATCTTTCGCCTCCCTTGCTTCTGTTCGCTACATCGCTCTGATTCCATGGCCAGATCAATGAGTGTAGAAAATATATGTATTCTAACTCTATTCTCGTAGTTGACTTATTCAACTCCGTTATTCACTAACGCAGATAAATTCATTTATTACATACGAGGATAGTCAGTACATACGATCAAAAAGGAATCAGATTTACGGCGCTACAGGTCCATAAATGGATCCCAAAGTTACCATTCACTATTGTTATCGGGGCATAACAAAACTAAAGTCTAGACCTTTTGTCACTTTACTAGATATATTGAGAAACAATGAAGAAATAATTTAAGGTTGAATATCTTGATTTTACAATATGCTGAGCAATTAATCCACTTTACTAATCGTTAATACATGCTACGAGATATTCTTGAAGACAACAAAAGAAATGCCTAAACAGATTATTTGCTATCTCGCAATACAGAATTACACAACTTAAAAGGTATTTTAAGTTATTACAATTTACTTGAATTGCAAAAATATGAGTCACTGGATTTTACTGGTTCATTAAATTTACATGAATGGATTCAAATGCAGGCATTTGAAACGGATCCTGGACAACATCACTAGTACACACTTATAAAGAGTATAAAACAGGAAAAAAAGCAAATGTTCACTTATTCGGTAAATTTTCTTAGTTCTTAAGATGATAATAAAAATTTGAAATCAATCATTAACTTAGCAAAATAGTTACATTACTTTGCCAAGAAAACCCCATGAAATAAATACTAGATTAGTATTTGAAATGAAGCTAATTGACGTTTTTATCATTTGGGGACAAGACATCGAAGTGAAATTCTATTGTTTTCATAGTTGAAATCATAAATCGATTGAAGCTAGATCATCATAGAAAACCTGGAAGGCTGTTTCGTCCTATTATAGGACTCTTCAGCAGTGCGCACCTACGACCTTTTTCATTCTGTAGTCAGTTAATAAGCATCTAATTACAATCATTGTATTTAAATGGATCATTATATTTATAAACGGTAGTTTAGTATTCATATCTCTGTTTTTAAATTTTTTTTCGATTGTTTTAGTCAAGTGATTAGTTTTAATTAAACAAAATTAATTTACTAGTCAGTTGTTGTATCATTACACCATCTTTAATTGAGTTACTAAACAAATATGGTATATTTTATATACACATTTCTATGTTTATTATGTATTTAGTCTCTAGTACATAAATTATTGATTCTGAATGTGTATAAGTTTTTATATTAGTACATAGTTGTAGAGATTGCTGATTTTTTATGTTTATTGAAAGGGTCCTAGTATTAAAGGTACAATTAATTTTGTTTTCACAGTCACTAGTCATGTCATACTAATGGTAATGAATTCTAAACAGACAGTGAAACAAAAATAGTAGATTGAAACAATAACTGCATCTGCTTTTGATATTGATCTCTCCTTGTTGTAAATGACCTGAGAAAAAAACACAAAAAAATAAAGGGTAACAAGTGAGACGTGAAAATCTTAGTCCATTGAAGGTTGGCGTTTATCTTCAGCAAAGCTATTTTCTACATGATGAAGTTGCTAACCTTGTACCCAACCCTACTCCGTTACCCAGGCTTGGGAAAAGCAGTAAACTTAGAAGCGCTACAGGCGGGGTTTTCATTGCAGGTAACGGAACATAATCTCATGAAACTTCGGTAAGTAATGGTAGAAATTCTAAAAATTAGGACGGGTTTTCGAAGTATTCTCATAAACAAAGATGAATGTGACACTGTTCTAAGACATATCTGGCTAGTAATAACTTATGTCAATTCCAGATGAATCACTACACGAGTAATACATGTTTACTTGTGACTGGATGGATTTAACATGACCACTTGGAATAATAAGTGTAATCCCACTAATAAAGTAGAAGACGAAAAATATTGGTACGCTATAATAATCTCATTGATCGCCAAAACACCGGATAATAACCTTTGTTGAAATGTAAGTACTTGTGTAGTGTTAATGAATTGATATTATAAAAAACTTTCTAAATTACTTGTGTTAATTGATGCAAAGCCATTAAGATTATCCTGACGATGTATTTCTAAGAATAGGCATTAGAGATAAGATTCTAAACTGACCGCTCAACAGTCCATGTCAATCTGTAACTTAATCAACGAGTTATATATATAAATTCCCAGTTTCCTTGTATTTTACATTTCACCATTAATTTAGTTAATTAAGACTTAGATTTTTTGAACTATTACTACTGAATAGATTTTGAAAGGGCACTTTAATGTCTAATACTAAAGTAAAACTTCCTGACCCAAATATAAATGTTAGTTCATTTTATGTTAATAAAATTCCAGTTATTAGGAATAATCGAATTTTTTTTAATTAGTCTCATATAACTTATACTGTCGAAATAATTCAGTACTAAGTGTATCCTAAATAGAAAGTCATGATTAAAGTTTAATGAGTCTAACATGCTGTTGTGAAATACATATACCAATTTCATGCAATTGGTTCCCTTTATGAATTTAAATACCAATTACTAATCAATTTACTCTCCAGACTTTTACAAATCTAACCAATCTATTGGTTACTGTTATAAAAGCCGAAAATGACCCTTACGCGTACAAAATCGTCTTAAGTGATATTTCAACTGAAGTATAACCAATGCTGAGCATAGCATAGGCAAAGTCAATCCACTGTAACTGGCTCTAATATAATCGGTTTAGACCATAGAATGCAAGACAATGATAAACGACCTATGTTAAACAATAGTGACTTTTAAACAAATCAATTCGGAATTAATTATTTCTATGTAAAGAATAAAATGATCATTTTATATACATTTACAATCAACATTGACCAACAATGGAAATACTAATAAAATACGATAAGAATTCGAGCGTTGGGAGTTGGTGTCAGTTTACGAGACGGAAATCAGAGGGGGGAATGAAATCGACAAAGCGCACATACACAGTCATTATTGACAAAAAGTAAGTAACATCTACCCTGATGTAAATAAAGAATATCAATTTACAAACTGGCAAGAACAAATAAGTAAGAGGATAAAATGTAAATAATAAGGGATAGAGAAATCATTAAGTTTTCTTGAAAGATTTGTTGGCATATTACAAGCTGCCATGATTTTCTTTTTTAAAAAAAACATTACTTAATATCTACAAATAAATTACAGAGATGCAATAAAATCAAGTGAATGCTTCAAAAGCCTGGTATATTTGTGATAAGGAAAGAATGTGAATAGGTAAGCAAGTCCTACGATCGTTTGTTGTTGGATCAATAGTTAACCAAGATAAAGCATTGTATGTTTCTAAAACGTATCTTAATACATCACATGTGCTGTTAGAATCTAGAAGATGTCCTGGACGATTTGACGACGGTCCAACCCCCGGACCACTTGAACCTCCAGTCGGTGGAGGAGCTGCAGCTGCAGCATCATCGACACCAACCAGTGTAGTTTGTAAATGCAGAGCAGACTTCAAACAAACTGGATACTGAAATTTGGAATGCGGACAAGCAATCCAAAACCACGAGGGTAGTGGACCGGCAGAAGCTGTAGATATGTAATATCCCATGGCCAAGGGTTGTTGCATCAAACTTCCCACTTCATCCTAAATAGTAAAAATGGTAGATTTATTAGTAAACAAAAAGAAACACAAAAATAGATATTCGATCGAAAGTATACATGATAGACAGATTGCCCAAACATTTACAACCAAATTAATTACAAGTACTATTTTATAAATACGTTTTAATTTTACTTCAATCATACAATTGAAGACTACAAATCAGTTTGCTACCCTATTGTACAACTACCCTTTATTTAAACACATGTGGATGATGACAAATTAAGTGTACGAAGCAAGATATCTTTACAACTATCAAATGACAATGACTAAGGTTAAAAAGAATCCTTGGCTGAAACTAGATTTCAAATCCGCATTCGATCTCCAACATTGTTTATTTAACTTGTTAGACTAAAGTTATCTAAGACTACAGTTTAGCGTATAAACATACTATGAAACGAATTAAGGGAACCAAGAAAAGTGATAAACAGCATAGAAAATCAATATAAATGTCATAATTATGAGGAATGTTATACAGAAATCACAAAACTACTAATAACGAATAAATAAACGCAATTCATGAATAATTTATCCTTTATCGTTGCCGATGAAATTGCTTCATTTTGAAATTTATATCGTAGTGACCAAAGTATAACAAAGCACAACCACAACTTCAAGTCCACACACTATTTTGGACAAATCAGAGACTATGAAACAGTCAAAAATTGAACAAACAGTCATTTGTTGTATAATGGAATAAGTGTGACTACAATATCCTAAATATGCTAATCCTGGTGTTTAACGTTAGCCCTAATGTTAAATCAAAATAAAGAGGAATATATATGAATAAGCAAACAATTTACTTACTGTAGGATCATGTATTCCGAAAGGCATCGTGTTGAGAGGATTTACAGCATGACCGAATAAATGTTCACTCAAATAACCACCAACGTTACTTAATTGATTTGGTCCCAAATCCAGTAGTCCAGAATCAAGTCCACGTAAACCCATAACATCAGAACACCCATGTCCCCGGTTATCATGAAAACCGACAGTGTATTCATTGTGTCCATGCAAAACATCACTACCATCGCCTAATCTAGTATTAGATGACTTCCCCGTACCGTCATTAACACCACTGACACAAACAGGTGGACCTAAGTCGGACAGGCCGAAATTTAATTCTGATGGATTACCGAAGTCAGCCAACATTTCTGCTGTTGATCCGTTTGGAGGAACGAGATCATCAAGACCAGGATCATTGGGAAGAAGCCAATCAAATACGTTCATATCATCAGATCCCATTCCATAGATAACTTCAGCTAATCCTGAAGGTTCATGTTCCTAAAAATCAAACAGGATCGAAAATGTTGAAATCATTAAACCACAGATAATTGGTAAATCAGATTTCTGGGAAATAACTGTGCAAGAAGAGTATTTAATAAATTCAGTGAATCATCTATTAAGTACAGACTTATGTTTGAGTTAATAACACTATCCGCTTCTTGAAATCGAAGTGTGCGAAGGTTCCAAACTGTAATCTGTCGGTAGAAGGTTGAGTGACTACGTAACTCTGTCAATATCTTTCCATTGCCCGAAAATAATTAACTATCGTTAAAATACTCCATACATGTGCATGCACATGGCTTTTTGCCGCCCCCAAATGCCCTGGTACGGCCGAGTGTGGGGAGAGTCACCTCTTCCGCTCGAAATGCTCTCACATGGCCACGCGAATATATAGCCTGTCAGAGAAGTCCTACTCACTGCCTTCTCGTGGCATTACTGCTGTTTACGAAATTGAGAGGACGAATAGCGAATGTTCGGTGCTTTAACCGGGTCGGTGGATGTGGAGTGTCCACCTAGGGGAGTTGGAAAACCCTGATTCCAAACCAATGGTGCACATGGGCTCCAAAATCCTGACGGAACGAATGGCGAATGAACATATTGTTTTTCACCAGCTACCATGGTATTGCATCTCCTCACAATGCTCCACTGTCTTGTGGGTTAGACCTTTATGTCAAAGGCTCGGGGTGTGGTCCCCTAAGAAAAACCACCTGCTTCAGTTCAAGCACCTGGGCAGTATAACAGCCCTCACACAAACAAATGAAATAATAACTTGCACTGACAATACTACTTACACGCTTACTATATGCCAGATAATCTGCATTATTATTATTATATCACCCGCATACTTGAGGTCGAGAAGTCGTTCTCCAGGCAACATATCCACACCGCCATTACTTACATCCATCAGAGCTGTTTCCAGGATGTCATCGATGGCAAAGTTGAAGAGGAATGGTGAGATCGGGCAACCCTGCCTAACCCCATTGCTCGAATGAAACAATGGAGAAAGGTGGTTGTATGCCCTCACTCTGCCTGAGGTGTTCGTATACAGGGCCTTTAAGATGTTAATGAACTTCTCAGGCACACCTTTCTTCAATAGACAATCCCAGAGAACAGTCCTGTCCAACGAATCGAAGGCAGCCCTGATATCAAGAAACACTACGATTGTTGGCCTGCGATAAGTATGACGGTGTTCTAACATTTGGCGGAGGGTGAAGATGTGATCAATGCATCCTCGACCAGAACGAAAACCAGCCTGCTCCTCGCGAGTCAATCGTTCAGGGGTTTTAAGCAACCTACGAAGAATGACAGAAGCCATTAGTTTGGACGCAATCGGAAGTAGACTTATCCCCCCGATAGTTGTTACAGGAACAACGTGAACCATTTTTAAAGATAGGGAAGACTATCGACTCATTCCATGATGTTGGAACACTTTCTTGCTCCCAAACCTTTGTAAACAACACCGTCAGTTCCTTAGCCAGAAAGTCACCACCATCTTTACAAAGAGCCGGAGGTAAGTCATCTGGGCCCGGTGATTTGTAGCGCTTCAAGAGTCGGAGTTCCTTGCGGACTTCCGTCTCGTTTGGTGGATCAGTCGTCACCGGCCATGGGAGGCAGGACAAACTGGTTGATGTTGCCGGAGCACCAGGCCAATTGAACTGCCCTTCGAAAAATTCCGCCGATCGTCCAAGACGTCGAGAGATGTTAGTGATTGGCATCCCGTTAACCTCACAGATTGTTTCACTCACACCAGACTTCTTGCTGCCAGTGGCTCAGATGAGTTGGAAGAGCATCCGGGAGTTACCAGATGCAGCTGCTGCTTCCATCTCATTAGCACGCTCCGACCACCAGGCTTCTCGATCCTTACGCAAGCTTTGCCCAATTTCATTAACAGCCTTCGTTTGTGATCAAACTCACGGTCACCCAGAGTAAACCGACGGGCTTCCATCAGTTGTAAGGAGCCAGAAGAAACCGAGTGCTTATAAGCTCAACGTTTCGCGAAGCCGCAAGCGGCTTTACTCACAATTTTCATGGCGTCGTGCAGTTGCAACCAATGCTCATCTATACTTTTCGGTGGGATGGTAGCTAGAGTAGAGGCTAGCTCTGCTCGATACTTACTTGCAACAGAAGTTGCAGCCAGTTTACTAACATCGATCAGTCTATGACGATCAATTCGTTGGCCACTGAAAAGTAATATAAAGTAAGATTGGCTCAGACCAGGGCATGATCAGACTCCAGATAGGTACTCCAAGAGGAGCGGCAGTCTCGTACACAACCACGCCAGCGGTAGCTGATCGCGATGTGATCAATCTGAGTCCAGGCTTGAGATGAAGAGGGAGGACTCCAGGTGGCACACCGGCGATGAATGTGCCGGAAGTTAGTGCTAGCCAGAAACAGGTTGTGGTCTGTGCACAGTTGCAGCAAACGGTCCCCGTTATCTGTCCTGCGACCAACAAGTCCCCATCGGCCACCTAAACGATTCTCTTCTGTGCCTAGACACCCGACCTGAGCATTCAAGTCTCCGGCTAGTACTACAATATCTGTCGAACGCGCTTTCTGAAGAAGAACTGTTAACTGGTGGTAAAACTCATCCTTGATTGCATCCGGGCTGCAATCTGTCGGGGCATAGGCGGAGATGACGAAAAGACATCGTTTCTCACGCCGGTTTCTTCTCACTTTGATGGAACTTTCTAATCTAACAGCACATAACCGACTGTTAATGGGGATCCAATCGATTAGTGTTGCCTCAGCCCTAGCGCTTAGAGCAACACCAACGCCTGCAAGACCAGACGACGATGCCACAGAGTCCCCGGATAAGCGCACGTGAAACAAGCTTTTCGAAGCGACAGATGGAAAGCGGATTTGTAGTATTTCGCCAAAGTCTTGAATACAGGTCTCTGATAGACAACAAACGTCGATATTAAGACTTTCTAAAGACATAGACAGTCCCATCTGTTGTCCGATGTGCATTAGTGTGCGAACGTTGAAGGAAGCCAGTTTGAACGGTGTGCGCGGTCTCAGAAAAGCTGCTTAAGTATTCATAATCGGTGGAAGCATTCACTTTCAACCGGACAGTGACTGGAGATCGTTTAGATAGGACAGAGTTTCCACCATGGGCGAGCTACTGTTCTCTGGGATTGTCTATTGAAGAAAGGTGTGCCTGAGAAGTTCATTAACATCTTAAAAGCCCTGTATACGAACACCTCAGGCAGAGTGAGGGCATACAACCACCTTTCTCCATTGTTTCATTCGAGCAATGGGTTTAGGCAGGGTTGCCCGATCTCACCATTCCTCTTCAACTTTGCCATCGATGACATCCTGGAAACAGCTCTGATGGATGTAAGTAATGACGGTGTGGATATGTTGCCTGGAGAACGACTTCTCGACCTCAAGTATGCGGGTGATATTGTCTTACTGTGCGATAATGCCCAAGGTATGCAATCCGCTCTTAATCAGTTGGCGATCAGTGTCCGCAGGTACGGCATGTACTTTGCACCCTCCAAGTGCAAAGTACTCCTACAAGACTGGCAGGATTCTAATCCTGTACTCACCCTGGATGGTGAGCAGATTGAAGTAGTTGAGAAGTTCGTGTATCTAGGTAGCTGCATAACTGCTGGTGGTGGCGTGAGTGATGAGATCAATTCACGTATAATGAAAGCCAGAGCGGCTTATACCAATCTGGGCCATCTTTGGCGCCTTCTTGATGTTAGTCTGGCTGTAAAAGGTCGGATCTACAACGCGTCGGTGAGAGCAGTTTTGCTCTATGCTTGTGAAACCTGGCCTCTCCGAGTTGAGGATGTTAGACGTCTATCTGTGTTCGATCATCGTTGTCTCCGAAGGATTGCTGACATCCAGTGGTAACACCATATTAGTAATGCAGAGGTTCGGCATCGTGTGTTCGGGCGCCGAGACGATAATTCAATTGGTGTCATCATCTTGAAACACCGACTTCGGTGGCTTGGACATGTTTTACGAATGTCGTCCCAGAGACTTCCACGTCGTGCATTATTTGCCGACTCTGGGACTGGTTGGAAAGAGCGGAGAGGAGGTCAGTGTATGACATGGTGTCGTGGCATGAAAGAGAGCTGCAAAGGGCTAGCTTCTGTTGGTCCTTCACGACTCCCTGGCTGGGGTCCGAGAGATGGTGCAACACAGTGGCTAGAGACGTTATCGGATATGGCTCAGAATAGAAGCCAGTGACGATCCTGCTGCAACCTTCTTTTACTTTCTACATAAAGAGTGGTTCTAACTTTCTTAACTGAAAGTGTCTTCTGGTTGTACATTTTAGTCCGCGTTATCTTTTCATCCTTTCTCTTCCTACTTTCATTATTTTGTGTGGCGCATATGTATCTGGTGCCCTTTTGTACCAATATGTATGTGTTTAAATAAAATAAAATAATGCACACATATTTACGGGCAATATTTTAACTGGCTACTGAAATGTAAAGTAATCTAGCTAAAGCTTATTCACTTGACTGTATACTTGTGGTGTGAAAAATTAACTAAATCGAAGTGGATATAGTGAGTTTTAAAGCACTGACAGGGCAGTTGAAAATCAATTAGTCGTGGATAAATGGGTCAAAATAGTATATCATGTTTTGACGATTTTAAAAAAATAAGAAGAAGAGTAGTGAGATACAAATTGATATTGACTGTTACTTTGAACAAAATTATGTGTAAATACGTTTATGATGCGGCAGCTAACAAGAACATAAAGTTTTAATTCAATTGGTAAGTGATTGACGAATAAAACTCATAACCTTTTATCTCTAATTTGATGTCAAATAACTATGTTTAAAATCGCATCGAATATTTTTATACAAGTATGTTATTTTTTATAGAAGGGGTTTTGTGGAGATTTAGTATTTATCATTGTTGAAAGCGTGAGTCTGTTGTGAGATAGGAACTCACTGAAGACAATTGGTGAATGGTTGCTCAACTTCGTGGATCAGTTGAAGTTAGACATTAACACCGTTGGATGCCAGCTCAGTGGTCTATCGGTTAAGGGCTTCGGCTCGAGACTGGTAGGTCCTGGGTTCGAATCTCGCTCGCGAGAGCAGGTTCGTGGATGCGCACTGCTGAGGAGTCCCATAATAGGACGAAACGGCCGTCCAGTGTTTCCAGGTTTTCCATGGTGGTCTAGCTTCAATTGACTCACGCTTTCAACAATGATATGTTATTTTTATTGAAAAGAAAACTTATTCCGCTGGTCAGTTGTCTTGCTGTTCGATAAGAGTTCATAAGAGGGATTGCGTCCATAACTCTATATCATGAGTAGGCACATAGTATCAAAGAGCTTCACTCCGTAATCAACATTCTGTTCACTATTCCAATATTCCCAAACTTAAATCACAAAAAAGCACTCAAAGCTACGCTATACAACAGTCTATACCAATCATAATATTTTTTATTGTCACATAGACCTCTACCACTGAATACATAATTAGCGACTTTAAAACTTATTTTACACCAATATTTATCAAATCGACGTATTGTACAGACTGGATAGAAATACTTCAAAACTATAACCATCTTAATAGTTTTTTGTATGAATAAAAAACTATCACCTAAAATTAAGGACACCAGCAAAATATGAAGTGGTAAGCAGCATTTACAGAAATTTATTTATTTTATTTAAACACATAAATATTGGTACAATGAAGCATTAGATAAATATGCGCCACACGAATCTCGTTTGATTTGTGTGAGGGCTGTCATACTGCCCAGGTGCCCAGTCTGAAGCAGAAATAGATTCTGATGAGAAGCCAAGTTGCTAAAATTACAAAAACCAATGCATATAGAGGTCACTTATGAACCACACGTTCAACTGCGTCTATTATGATAACATGTGTCTGTAAAATTAGATCCATAGATACACTAATAGATGTTTTCGAAAAACAAAATTGAGTGTTTAGTGGTTATGGATCGTACACAATGTATAAATGTAAGACTTCACTTAAAAATTATTTAAAGAATGAAACAGACGTGGATAAACGGGGTTTGAAATCGCGCGTAATTTCAAGTAATTGAAATACCATAATTTCATTAAAAACTAGTTTAATTTCTCATCCCAATGACAGCGAATATTTTATAAGGTAAGATTTAATCACAACAAACAAACTTGTATGCAAAAAATCATAATAGTAAAAGAAAAGTCGACTTACGGACACACCACTTGCTGAAGTACTAGTAGGAAAGACAAGGATATGGGTTGCACTAGGTGTTTCTATAGGCGTTGTTGGAGTGTCTAATAGTGACATCATACGCATAGCTAATGGTGAAGCATTGGCTCCATAAAATGCATTGTTGGCACCGTTACTCAGGCCACCACTAGCACCAGTGCTACCTGCACCTCCAGAACCACCACCGCCACCTGTATTACCACCGCCTCCACCACCTCCGTACGTCCATGATTCATCTGAACACAAACCAAAACCAGGATATACACGGAATGTGCTTTGAGGTTCGAGGGAAACAAGACACGCGCTGATCAAACTTGGGAGTTCATGAGTACAACTACTGGCTCCAGTGAAACTATTGATTAGATTTAACATAGGCTTAGAACCATTATTAATGGATGACGAATGTGAAGGAACACATGATGATGTACTACATGCAGAACAACGTTCTCGAAAAAATTTATTTACATCCTGAAGGCTTTTGCGTCCTAATAGTCCATTCCAACCTACAAAAAGTAACGAACAATTCAAAACGATCAATATTAATATTTTCACATTACTTAATCACAGCAACAGTGAATAAGTGAAATATTGTTAAGTATAAACAAATTATTCTTTTAAGCACTAATCTCAATAATTATTAGTTTTGAAAGTTTGGAAAATTAACTTAAGAGATTTCCAGGGATTATGGTCCACTTTTAGCAATTATAAACACTAACATATTAGCTAGAATGTGGGGACTAGATGTAATCCCACACTTGACTGGTCTCGGTTGCTGATCGTCATAGTTTACACGAAAGGATAAAAAAATCCCCCTGTAACAACCACAGAGGAATCAGATCAATTAATAAAGTGTCCAGAACACTAGCCGCTATAGCCATCACACGCCTAGCTACAACCCATGAGAAGCGTATTCGATAAAACCAGACATGGATGTGCTGTCTTTATACCGCTTGAAGCAACAATGCAAGGAAGTCTGGGATGCGAGTCTCTATCTAGATGAGAAACGCTATTTTAAGACCAGTCTGAGTTAACACCTGCAGTAATGATAATGGGTGTAATTGGGCGTACCAAAGTTTCACTACCCCCACCCTGGTAGGCTGGTACCTGGAGAAATTTCTAGATGGATTTAGTAAATTCGGTTGGATTTTGCCATCTTATTTCATCTATTGCGTATGCGAGATGTTTATCGGTCAACCGAAGGACTAGCCTACTGAAAAGCAGTTTGCTCTCTTCTAATCTATGCATGCGAAGCATGGTCGTAAAGAATAGATGCTGTTCGTAGATTACTAGTATTGAATTATAAGTATTTTCGAAGCACCACTAAAGTATTTTAGGATCACCGAGCGACCAATGCCGAGGCTATGCATAGGGTAAGAAGTAGAGATGATTATTCGGTCGGTGAACTAGTGAATCTTCACAAACTGAGGTGATTGAGACATGTGTTACAGGTGCTTTACTATGATCTATTTTGGAACGTGGCATCATCATGTGTAGGTGTAAGCCAGAAGCTGCAGGAGCCAAACAAGTCTATAATATAATTGACAGCCATGTTAATTAGTGTAGAGCACCCTGTAGGAGTCTGCAAATATCGTAGCCAGTGGTTAGAGGCTTCAGGTGAATCGTCAAGAAGGACCCACATGAATTCTTCCTTTCCCTACCTTAGTACTCGAATCTTAAAATTTCCATATACCAATCTTTTTATATTTGATATTTTCTATTACAACTGATACTGTTATTACTTCTATTACTTTGAGATCTGTCTTGATAGTTTTACCATGTTTTGCTAATGTAGTGTGGCAACATGAACAGAAGCAAATATATATGTCAGATTATGAGTTGCATACGACAAGACTGATTGATTAAAAGGAAGTAACACTGCTTAAACTAGGACAGGTTTTTAATAAAGAAAGTCTTTTACGAAAGAATGAGGCATAAACTACAGATAATTTAGTTTGTCAGCAAAATTTTTAAAAGGGTCACCGAAACTCTTGATTCAACTTCACATTTTAAAGTACTGTTGACAATCAGGTTTTTGAAGGATATTTAACCAATATTTCTGAAGTTTTTGTAACCAATAATACAAACTTTGATAAAAACGAGCTGATTAAGTAATTATCAGACGATAAAATTGAGAAAACGAAATGTAATTTTTGGACATCTTAAAAAACCTAATATATTATTAAAAATAAACGTTTCAGATATCTTTGGAAATGCAAATATTATATAGTAATACCGTTCAGAGTACTGAGTATACAATAGTTATTTTTAGAGAATGAAACTCACCTTTTAGTTCTCCTTGTCCCAACCTGCCAATTCTTCCTACTACAAGTCGCCAAGCATTAGCAGTTTGACTGATTAAATTAATAATATAATCCCAAAGTCGTGCAAGCCCAATACGACGAGGGCTTAATATATGTTTATTTGATTCCGTTGGTTGAAAACGTTGATTTTCTATTTCAGTAAAGTATCTTGTTGGGACACGAATATTAATTAAAGTATGATCTAATAATCCGCCCTGTTCATCTGTGAATGTAGCAAGAAGCCATTGTTGATCTTGTGAAAGACAGTATGCAACAAACAAAACTGATGACCGATCAATAGGTTCTGATGAAATATCTAATTGACTGAGTACACCACGTGAGTTCATGAGCGTATACGGAGGCGCAAATATAGTTCGTTTGTGGAATCTCTAAAGTGATATGGTTTAAAAGTGGAAAAGTAGATATTATTAAAAAATGACAGTTAATTAAATGACGTAAAAATTGGATAATTAAACTTAGATATACGACTAAATACTAATGTACAATTGTTGAGTAAACAACCGAGAACAAGTAAGCAGCTATGACCAACACAGCTTCGTATAAGTAGGCATCACTTCAAGCTGTCACATACCACATTATCGATATGAAATTAACAAGATGAATAGTAGGTTTGTGTAGGCAACTTCGATCGATACCTTTATATGCGTGAGGATAATGTAGTTCGTTACACCCAAGTATAAAGAGACAATTCTAAGGTGGCAACGTCATAGTTGAAAGTCACGTTTTAACCACCAAACATTTGCTTCACACCAATTCAAAACTTATTCATCGAGTATACGGGTAACAAAAGGTTGGTAGGAACTAAGAACAGTAAACTTTGCGAAAATATTTCATGGAACTAAAAGGTGCGGTTTTTTCTCAGACTTCTTAAAAAAGTATTCAGTGATACATAGTTCCTTTTAATATTTCTTGATATACAAAATAATTACAAACATATCTTTAACATCTGTGAGATGGATGAAAAATGCCCCAGGAAAGACACCACTAGCCACGGATTCCAAGAGTTAAGTTTAGTACTGTTCAAAACTCATCAGCTGAACTTATATGTACCCCACGTTTTCACCGCAAGTTTTCAAAAATTTCCATATCAGCTTTTCATAAACGATTTCATTCCTTAACTTTAAAATAAACTTATTCACTGACATTTTTTACCGAATTATTTGGTCTATTTCTAAAGACTGTCAGATTTCAAATAGTTGTAACAAGCATTAGATATACACAACAGCGTATTCACTAAGTTACAGTCAGCAATAACTTAACTAAAATATTTAATCATACCACCTTAAGATACCAAACTATGAGCAATGTGTAATAAAAACGGCTAACATTTCATTACAATCTACAAAACAGTTGCTACACAAAAAAAGAAAACCAATTTTCTGAATAAAACAAGAAATTATCATTCTGAGCTTATTCAATTAAATGTAACAAACTGAATGTGTAAAAAACTAGTAAATACTACATAAAGTTGTACCTGTAAATAATGTGCGTGCGTGTGTGTGTGTATGTATGAATTACACTTAATAAAGTCAATTCGAGTAAAATTCTTTCTCCAGTTTATAAACAAACATTGATTTTATTTTTACAGGAGAGAATAAAAGTAGTGTTAAAATTGCGGCGAATTAAGTTTGTTTGTCGCTTTTTCATTTGTTTATGATGAAAAATAACACTGATTAGATGTGTTATAAAGTAGGCGCGGTCAGTGATTAACAGGTATATCTCTCTATATACATATATAATCAATTATGAATGATACGTTGTGTGACACATGCAAATAATTTAAAACACAGAATATAATGCTTGATATTCATTATCTCTTATGAATAATAAGGAATATAAAAACGAACCCAATTGTTTTCTATCGGTTAATGAATAATTACAACTTAATAAATTCAATCTAGATAAAATATATTCTTATTGAACAAATTTTTAATCTTATATGAAAGGTGCAGCATTTTAATGATATTTAGATAGAGGGTTGGCTAGGTTAATTGACTAGTTCACAACTAACAACTAACTATCTTCTTTAAATATATAAAAGATAAGAAAATTGAATTCAATGTAAATCAATAAGCATTCACCCTATTATATATAATTAAATTTAAAAACAGACAATAACGAAGAAGAAGAAGAAGAATATAAATATGCACAGTTTGTAAAGTATATTAGTTGAAAAGAAAAACTTTGTAAATAATGTGAGCTATCAAAATTAATGGTGAGTAATTTACCATCTTGGCAAAATTCATAAAGAATAATACAGTAATTGATTATGAGAATGTTAAATGTAACTCTGTAAAACAAATACACACCTATGTATTTAACTTTGAACAATATTTTATGTATGAAATTTAATGGTTCAATCGAGTTGGTCAAACTGATTTTGATGTGAATTGAAAATATGACTCAACGGTTGTAAGTCATATGATCTAACCTCTAAACCACTGTTCCTTAAATATGCTACTCTATTAATTAAGTTTATAAATGAAAGGGTAATAAATCATCATTCAATTATAACTGATGTTAATTGGCTACGAAAACCCTCACCTAAATCCGAATACTTAAACTTAATTTATCTCTATTTACTATAATAAATAATGTAATGTGTAAAGGTTCATTAATCGTATCAAAGTTATCTATCCACTATAATTTTACAACCTTTTTAGTTAATTCTCTAATAGTGTTTTCTGGTTTGCTAATAATTAGCTCAAAGTCGATAGTATAGTATATTTCTACCGAAACCGCTAACACGGAGTCATACAAATAGAAAAAGAACAATTTAAAACATGACTGAATGAAAGTCCTGGTTTTGGTAAGTAATGAGAAAGATAACCAACGAGCTTTGTTAAAAAGGATTGCTAAACAACTACCCGATGCATTAGGAAGTATTAAACTTTGGTTTGTATCAATATTACATTTATTAACTGTTAGTGAGATATAGATTGAATTAAGCATGTTTCATGCATTATGGTGTTGCTGCGCGCTGATTGGTTAATTTTAAACCGATCAGCCCGAGCATATTATTGCAGAAAAATCTATAAGCTTCTTATGTATATACTATAAATATAGGAACATTATATAAACTATTGATTGCTGTTCACATACCATTGTTATTTTGAATACAATTTCATTCCTGTTCAACGTGTTCTGATTTTGGGGTCTTGTCGAGTGTCGTCGTATAAGAACACTAAGCAATAGGAATAGCTGGGTTGTTTATATAGCAAAAATACAATTATAACAGTGACGACGAGGGAAAAGAAAATTCTTTCAAAATGCCTATATCAGATGACCAGCTCAGACGAATATTACAGCAACAGCAAGCACAACTTGACGCACAAATGCGCCTGTTAGAAACTCTGACGCAACAGCTTAACATACACTACTCGAGTTCACATGCTACTACAAGTACTTCTTCTTGTGATGCAGTTGCCAACAGAATCCCAGAATTCTATTATGACCCCGAATGTGGCAATACATTTCTCACGTGGTTCAAGCGTTGGGAAGACACATTTAGAAGAGTTCTGTAATCAAGACGACACATGGAAGACTCGACTGTTGATGCGCAAGTTGGGAAGTCATGAACATGCACGCTATGCTGATCATATATTACTAAAGTTACCTCGAGAGCTCAGTTTCGAGAAGACAGTATCTCAGCTGTCAGAAATATTCGGTGAATCTTCCTCGTTGTTTAGTATTTGCTACCAGTGTCTTAATTTGGTGAAACGAGAAACCGATGAATATTGTGTTCTAGCAGACGTCGTCAACAGAGAATGTGAAAAGTTCAAGTTACGCTCGTTGACAGAAGATCAATTTAAATGCCTTATATTCATCAAAGCTCTGCAGTCACTACAAGATACTGAAACTAGAACCAGACTTCTAACTCGTTTGGATCAAGACCAAAACGTCACACTCAGGACATTGACAGATGAGTGTAAACGACTACAAAACATCAGACACGACAATCAGTTAATTGAACAGGTAAATTCTAATTTAACCTGTAGTAGTGTAAATGCTATGACTAGGTTAAAAAGTCAGAAGCCCAATAAAACTCGTAACAAACCAACGGATGCCTGTTGGTTATGCGGCGATTGGCATTATGTACGGTTCTGTCCATTTAAGAAGCATAAATGTCAGGTGTGCAACAGACGTGGACATAAAGAAGGCCATTGTCCACCGAATCGTACGTCCCAGCCCAAGAAAAAGTATAAACGTCTTTCACGTGTGGTGAAATCAGCTGAGTCTGAATCTCTTTCTCTGGTAGCAGCTTTTCAAACAGACTATGACATTCGGAGAAAGTATGTTACGATCCAGATTAATGGTATAGCGGTTCGTCTCCAAATTGACACAGCATCCGATATCACCCTAGTGTCTAAAGAAACGTTTAACCTGCTTGGGGAACCGCCAATGAAGCCATCCAAGAAAACGGCTAAAAATGCATCTGGAGGCATACTAAAACTAGTTGGCGAATTACAATGTGAATTTTCCTTCAATGGAAATAGCTGTAAAGGAGTATGCTATCTAACAGAACGACCAAACCTTGATCCACTTGGTCTAGATATGTTAGAAAAGCTTCGATTAATGGATATACACATTAACAGCGTTTGTAACGTGTCATATCCATCATTAGACACCATTTCATATGCAAAAAAGACAGGTGAAAAAGTTCTAGAAAATCTGAAGAGAAAATTCGCCGCTGTCTTCCAGAATAGCCTTGGTCACTGCACTAAAGTGAAAGTTCATTTACCCCTGAAAGCAGATGCCAAACCGATTTTTCGCCCGAGACGTCCTGTGCCATATGCTGCTCTTGAATTAGTCGATCAGGAACTTAATCGTTTGCAGCAAGCTGGCGTAGTCCAACCGCTTAATTACTCTGCATGGGCCGCGCCGATTGTAGTGATTAGAAAGCCCAATAGAAATATCCGCAAATGTGCTGATTTCTCAACGGTTTTAAGTGCTGCATTGGATGAATATCAATATCCATTACCTGTTCCTGAAGACCTGTTTGCTAAACTAAATGGTGGTACATGTTTCGCGAAAATAGACTTTTCGGATGCCTATCTGCAAATGGAAGTAGATGACGATAGTAGAGAGCTTCTGACTATCAACACTCATCGAGGGTTATTTCAATACACCCGCCTACCATTCGGCATCAAGACCGCACTTGCCATCTTTCAGCAAATAATGGATACAATGCTAACTGGCATACCGGGTACAGCAGCTTATCTAGATGACATCATAGTTATGGGTTCCACTAACAGTGAACTTCCCGAACGTCTACACCAAGTTCTCAACCGAGTGTTGGAGTATGGTTTTCAACTACGTGAAGAAAAGTGCATCTTCTTCATGCATTCGATCAAATACCTTGGTTTCATCCTAGATAAGAACGGCCGACGACCAGACCCTGCTAATATAGAAGCCATTTAGAAAATGCCCGTAGCAACTGACGTCCCTTTATTAAGGTCATTCTTGGGATTAGTTAGTCATTACAGCACATTTTTGCCTGAAATGCATCGAGTGAGAGGCCCTCTGAATGAATTACTATCGAAAGATAAACCTTGGCAGTGGTCAGCAGAATGTCAAGCATCCTTTGACAAAGTCAAGTCAATGCTCAGCTCAAAGCTTCTCTTGACACACTTCGATCCCAGCTTGGAAATTGTAGTCGCATTTGATGCATTTAGTCACGGAGTTGGAGCAGTTATATCACACGTGTTTCCAGACAAAACAGAGAAGACAATCGCCCATGCTGCCAGATCACTTACCCCAGCCGAACGCAACTACAGTCAAATCGAAAAGGAAGCTCTGGCAATCATTTTTGCTGTCAAAAGATTTCATAAAATGCTTTACGGCCGTAAGTTCACTCTGTTGACAGACCACAAACCACTGATTGCAATATTCGGTTCCAAGAAAGGGATTCCTGTCTACACAGCTAACAGACTACAGCGCTGGGCAATAATGCTTTTGAGCTACAACTTTAACATAAGGTATCAGTCAACCAATACTATCGGTCAAGCCGATGCCCTCTCACGACTTATTGGAGTTCAGCATCCTGGACCGGAGGACATGATCATTGCCTCGATATCAGTTGATCCAGAAATACGGAGTGTAGTAGCAGCGGCAATCCGAAACACTCCATTGTCGTCAGATGAAGTCAGAAAAGAGACTCTTCGAAACCCCGTTCTACAAGAAGTCAGAAAGTTCCACCTAGAAGGGTGGCCCTCGAAGATCAGTTCAACAGAGCTTCAGCAGTTTTATCAGCGCAGATTATCTCTTTCAATCATCGACCATTGTCTCATGTTTACTGAACGTGTCATAATCCCAAAGAATTTGCAACCGGCAGTCCTCGAACAGCTACATGCAGGACATCCCGGAATAAACCGCATGAAAGCTTTAGCACGAAGTTATGTATACTGGCCACAATTAGATACCCAACTCGAGCAGCTATCCCGTTCGTGTACAAAATGTGCATTGGCAGCAAAAGCACCACGAAAAGCAGAGTCGCAATCATGGCCGATACTACAATTACCGTGGCAGCGTATACATTTAGACTTTGCTGGTTTATTCCATGGACAAACTTACCTTCTGGTAGTGGACGCATACAGCAAGTGGCCGGAAATTTTCATCATGGAACATCCAACAGCAAGCTGCACAGTTAGAAAACTGCGGCAATTATTCAGTCGTTTCGAAGTTCCAGGACAAGTAGTCAGCGACAACGGTGCACAATTTACATCATCTATCTTTTCAGAATTTTGTCAGCAGAACGGAATCAGGCGTATCCGAACACCTCCATTCCATCCGCAATCGAATGACCAGGTAGAACGTTTTGTTGGTACGTTCAAAAATGCTCTAAAAAATCAAGAGGGGAGGGTACTACCGACGAGATCTTAGAGAGGTTACTGCTTATCTATCGCTCTACACCGAACCCTCAAACAACAAATGGGGTCTCTCCAGTGGAAGCGTTACTTGGAAGAAAAATAAGGACACATTTCGATGTCATCCATCCGACGCCAGCTAGTGAGCTCCAACGAAACTTATCGATGGAGAAGCAGTTCAGTCGACACCATGGGGCACACAGACGATTGTTCACGGTGGGTCAAAAGGTACTTGCTATGGACTATCGAGGAAAACATCCTACATGGATAGCTGGTCGGATCGTTCAAAAGAAAGGAAATGTGGTTTACGAGGTGTCCGTTGGTTCGGAAATCTGGGTGCGTCATGCTAACCAACTCAAATCAACCTCGATCTCCAACAATGAAACGCAGCATAGATTACCTCATGATGTTCTGCTAGACACCTTTGAGATCAACACCTGAAACAGACAGGACAGTCAAGGTGCAAACGAAGGATGATACAACGTCCTTATTACCTAGAAGGTGGACTAACCGGAAGCACAAACCAGTAAAGCGGTTGCAGTTGGACCCTAACACCAGATCCTACGAATCTGCTCAAGGGGGAGGTGTTAGTGGGATATTTTATTTATTTATTATTATTTATTTAAACACATAAATATTGGTACAATGAAGCATCAGATAAATATGCGCCTCACAAATCTCATTCGATTTGTGTGAGGGCTGTGATACTGCTCAGGTGCCCAGACTGAAGCAGGTGGTTTGCTTAGGGGGCCACACCCGGAGCCTTCGACCTGAATGTCTGATCCACAAGGCAGTGGAGCATCGTGAGGAGATGCAGTCCCATGGTAGCCGTTGACCAATGACAGGTTCGTCCGCCATTCGTTCCATCAGGATACTGGAGCCCATGTGCACCATTGGTTTGGAATCAGGGTTTTACAACTCCCTAGGTGGACCCTCCGTGTCCACCAACCCGGTTAAAGCGCCGGACATTCGCTTTTCGTCCTCTCACTTTCGTAAACAACGCCCCCGCCACGAGAAGGCAGTGAGTAGGACTTCCCTGGCAGAGGCTATATATTCGCTGGCCATATGAGAGTATTTCGAGAGGGAGAGGTGACTCTCCCCACTCTCGGCCGTACCAGGGCATTTGGGGGTTGAATTAAGCATGTTTCATGCATTATGGTGTTGCTGCGCGCTGATTGGTTAATTTTAAACCGATCAGCCCGGGCATATTATTGCAGAAAAATCTATAAGCTTCTTATGTATATACTATAAATATAGGAACATTATATAAACTATTGATTGCTGTTCACATACCATTGTTATTTTGAATACAATTTCATTCCTGTTCAACGTGTTCTGATTTTGGGGTCTTGTCGAGTGTCGTCGTATAAGAACACTAAGCAATAGGAATAGCTGGGTCGTTTATATAGCAAAAATACAATTATAACATTAACTTACGTCTTTTTCATTTGAAATAATTTCCTTTTCAGCTGCTGGACCTATACCCGTTAAAGTACGATTTGCATTTATTAAACTGGGCTCAATGAAACGATTTACAGATGTGTAAATTGCCAGTGCTAAAGGTCGTAAACGGGGTAAATAATCAGACATGACATGATCAACTGATAAAATTTGTGTAGTGACACGTGAACGCCACGATTCAGGTAAAGAATTCAATATGTGATTGGCAGAACCGATTAATGACTGCATAACAAGCCGGCCAAGTTCCATACTGACATCATATAACTAAAATGAAATAAATGAAAAAAACACAAATACTGAGATCAATGTAATGCAAACATTATAATACACACAGTTTAGTTTATACAAAAATGAGATCCCAGACGCGATGCTGACCAATATTACTCAAATAATAGATTCTACAATTATTAAATATGATTGAACAAAAATTTGCGAATGAACTCGGTAAGGAAAATGATGTAAAACCCTACAGTGATTGAATAGAGCACAGTTATTCATAAAACTTAATCCATGATCTGATTTTTATATCAAGGTTTTGGATCTATAGGTGATAATTAAAAATATACAACTAATCAATAATTTTTTTTTGCTTTACAGTACGGTAACTTTTTTTAAGAAGAACAATAGGTAAACAGTAAAACTATAACCGTTTGCTTTCAAAATTTACTCTATGTCAAATTACAAGACTGTTAGCATAGAACCAGTTGAATTAATATACTTCCATGTAATATGGAAGTCATTTTGACATATTATATAAATTAATTTTAAAATGTAAAACACAATTAAGATAAGTAAGAAAATATTGATTATGGTAATCTTCAGCCATATATTTCACAATTAGTTGAAATGTTGATACCCAAGTTGTAAATCAGCTTTAAATAACACATTTCAATTTAGTTATTTCACTTGTACAACAGTCCAGGCTAGGAGTGTACGTAGTCAACCATCCTACTCGTATATTTAATAACCAAGTTTAATTTAACAGAAAGCAATATATGCATCAAATTAATAAGAGGTCGACCAAAACAAGACGTTTATATGATGTGAAAAATACAAATGGTTTCATATGTAAAGTCATTCAGCTTAAATAGGATGATAACTATCAGATATGAATTAATTGTGACAAAACATGTAAGAATATGTTTCTTGCACAAACAGGCAGATGAAGTTCATGCAATTGGTTAAAAAAAAAATAGAAAAGAAATCTGTTCCAATATTGAAAAAGTTCCCAATAAATATATAGAATAATCTTATATACCATTTGGTTTTAAGTTAGATGGGATACAGAAAGTGTTCTGTGAAATATGATTAAAATTACTGAGTGTAAAAATGATGATCAACCGACTAAAATCAACAAGGAGCAACTTTTATCAACCGGTGAGGTTAGTAACCAGAACACATTTTATTTGACTCCCAAAAACTTAGAGTAGTGTAGAATAGTGTATTTTTAAAGTTGAGAAAGAAGCATTGATAGAAGTGGGTATTTGTTACGTAATCAAAACGTTCATCACTTACGTAGCAGAACGGATTTAGAATGTATATTACTAAATAAACATCACTCCCCGCTCCCCAAGAGGATGTATCCAAGGATGTGGTGAAGGAACCTTCACCATTACTGTAACGTACGGAGCAACTACTATCTATTCTACTTGAAACTGAAGGTCGGTTGACAATATTCAATTTTATATCATCTTGATTGATTTTTACAGGGATGCTAGGTTTCTCTGACTTTATTGAATCAAAAGGTGGAAACAAAGCAGAGCGAAGATTCGTATCGGAACAAAACTCTACAGCAACACCATGTTTTTTCAATGCAGCTATGGCGGAATTCACTGAGGAACAGGCGTAGTTTTGAATAATTCGTAGTACTGATTCTCCACATAGTGAATGATTACCTAGTTGTTCTGTAAGAGTTTTCAGAAGATCCGGATGAATACTTACGAAGTTATCAGATTCTGATATTGAAAGACGTTCTGAAATGCAGGTGTTAAAAACAAATCGATCATAACAGCGGAATTCGTAAGACAAATGTATTAATGAGATATGCAATTAACATACTGAGATAAAACTTTGGGACAAAAACTCACCATGTGTAATGATATCGAAAATTAATATCCCAATTACTTTTACAACCTACTAATAACTATATAATGAAGTAAAGTAAACGAAATTGATGAAGTAGTCTACAATGAGACCCTCAAGTTAACCAAACCAAAACTAATGTACACCGTAACCTGTATCAGATCGGTGGAGTCCGTAAGCAGGAAAAACTGCTTGTTATTTTTTATTGGCAGTGTGTGTTTAACCTCATAAACAGAAGCATTGTTACAGAATGCTGTTGTGAGTGAAAGGAAATTATGAAAATTTTGATATTTTTAACTTTAAAACTACATTATTTATCAAAAACGTTGGTGACAAACATCTATTAGGTTTCACTGGCAAACTACGTACATAACTGCAATAACAATGATAATCGAAACTGTCACTTAACAAGCAAGAAACGCCAGACTGTTATTCTAAGGACAGTTAACTAAAGATATTTTAAAGGAAAGTTGTGTCCTTAACACACTATTCGACAAAGTAAACTGTCGTTTGAAGGAGTAATTAGTTGTGAAGTTAATCTTACAAATAATTTATAAATTGTAAAAATCAAAAATCAAATATAACAACAAACTTAGCGACCAATAGCTTACCTGGATTTGGAAAGACTGGTATAAACGCCGTATCAGGAGAACCTGCTTCTGGTTTGTAATACGGGAAATGCTGGCCAAGATGACAAGCTTCATAGGTATGTGACAGTTCTTTCAGAAAATCAACAAGATTACGTCTTAGTGAATTTGAGGTCAATGAAAAAGAATTTGTATCGGTGCCATCAGACATTAAAACATTAGGAATATTAGATGTCGAATCGGACAGCATATGAGAGTCAGAAGGCAAGATCACAGCATAAGCAATACGTTTAGGTCGCGATAATGGAAATAGTGATAACCGATCCTATAAAACCATAAAATAAGAGGGCTAATTATAAATAAATTTCAGAGCGGGATACTGACAGGACAACAAACTGTGTATAGACATGCATGAAATTAACTATGACAGATAACCTTGACAAAATAGTTCAAAACAAACCTAAAGTTCATAGCGATATCTACACTACAAACACAGACGCAAGCTTTATTTCGATATGAAAATGAAAGTAGATAGTGCTATAGGTTCAGAAGAGCAAAATCTATTAAAAAGCTTCTCACAAACACCATTATACACGTGCAATGCAACTGAGGGAGACACATTCGATCGCTAAGGTTTCGTAAAATAATTTTGAGAAAAGCTGATAAAAGTATACATGACTAACAATAAGCAAAATATGGAACATATTTGAAGAAAATTAAGACGGCAAATATTACCCAATCACGAAGAGCGAAAGGAGAAATTAATAAGTTTTCTTGGTCGCAACTGCTAACGCGCAACTGAGGAATCGGTTGAGGTTTACAAGTTTCATCGGAGCCCCGACCAGCAAGTTGATGAAATGCTTTCCAAGTTAATGGTCCATCAACCGTATAGTTTGATTCCAACATACGAGTAGACGAAATGGCCTCCTGAAGCCAAGGACGCATTGTCTGGAAACAAAAAACAAATGCACATTCAGAGGTATATACTTCAATATCAAATTACAACCCTTATTTAGCAATTAAAAAGTGAATTTATAACCAAAGCGATGAAAAAGTTCAAGTAAGCGTAGGTAAGTAAGTTACATGAAGCCAGTACAATCTAACCGAACTAAACCCTACTTCTAAACACAATAACAGTTATACATTGATTAATTGTTCATTTGTACATTTATTTATTTATTTAAACACATAAATATTGGTACAAGGAAATACCAGATATATATGTGCCGCACAAATCTTATTCGATTAGTGTGAGGGCTGTGATACTTCCCAGGTGCCCAAACTGAAGCAGATGGTTTTCTTAGGAGGCCACACCCGGTACATAGATCAACAAGCATTTTGTTACTAAAAAGAGACTAGCAGAAAACTGTGTCAAATTTACATATTAGATGTCATGAAAAGAAAATGCGTTCACTAGTTTAGCAACCGAGCAATAATGTAGCAAATTCTGATTTTCCATAAAAAGTGATTTACTGAGATTTATCATATTCACCATCATTGCTACAGCCATTCATCTTTCTAATAATTATATACGGTATATTGTAATTCAATACAAGCACAAACGACAGTCGTAGGCATTGACAATCTCAGAATAACAAACGCAACTATTCTAAAATGTTGAAGGGTACTCGCAAATATAATAAATAAATAGGTGTGGTGAACTTCATCTTCACACTTATAGGCCAATTACATTTAGATTCGAAGGACGAAAACAATGATGAACAATACTTAGTTAAACGAAACCAAGAATGTTAGAGTACTCAGGTAAAATTCAAATACTTAGCATCAAGAAATGACAATTGCCAAATTTCCACAGTACAAGCAAGTATCTAAAATAAACGGAAAACAACTACACAGTACTTTCTTTCCTTTCATGAGACATGCATACATCGCTCTCCATTATAGTCCAAGTACATGCATTGGCCTCAATAGTCATAATAACAAAGACTACTTGCACGAGAAGAAATAAGTACAGTGTGTTGAAATATGAATAAAATTTTCAAAGAAAAGGATAAGCTTATCTGAATTGTTAAGCTTGATAGACCAAATAAATGAATTACATAGTAGTTCATACAGAGATTGTTCACGATTCTACGGAAACAAATCGATTGTTTCCTGAGAAAATCCAAATTTGGAAAAACAATACCCGTTGAGCATTACTAGGCAAATGGAATACTTGGACTAAGCCTGGTTATTGCCCTGGATATTTCCTGTTTTTATTGAAATGCATTTTTCATGCCGTCCCATCAAACGAGAACTCAGCAAAAAAGAAATAGTATTATGAAGTTCTCAAAGTATAAGTCTATTAATTACATTAAGTTCACTTCTGAAATACAATAGCCACCGATGTTAATGACAAATAAACTTTAAAGGATTACAGGAGAAACACTAGATAAAACTATAAAAAAGGACACATAATTACTTACTGTCAATAAGCGAATCTGATCGTTTTGATTTTGAGGCATCTTAGAATGAGCTTTTAGAAAAAAAGACGGGTGAATATACGCACCAGTTTCGGAAGCCGAATGAGGTGTATCAGTAGTAATGGAATCAATATTGTCAGCATGGCCAACTACTCTGCGTGGACGCACTGTTTCAACTGAATTGCGAATAGCCGACGAAATTAAAGCACAAGCGTCTGAATAAGTTAGATCAATAAAAATAATTATTTTAAATAGAAACACTGAGTAAAATAAAGTTTTCAATTAGGATCATCACGAAACTTAGCACATATCATAAAAGAAAGCAAACATTACGACTTTTGGAGAGGGACACGTGAAAAGAGGAAGCTTCAATAATCAAAGCTAAAATATCATGAAACATTTAGACTAAATAATGATAGAAAAACATTGAGATGAACTGCACTTCATGATTTTACAGTCAGTGGTGATCGGGACTAATGCATTAATTAACAAATACAATACAACTGATGAATTAATTAGTATGAGATTGTATTAGTGCTTACGATCATAGATATCGCCCCCAGTGATCAGTATGGAGCACAAAACCTATACCAAAAACTTATGCTCAACAAAATTAAAGCTATCAAGAGTCACAAACCGTGTTGAGCAATAACTTCATATGTAACGTACACAAGCCCTATTTAAATGAAAACATTTTGTACCTTATTATTTCACGAAATAAATAAAAACCAGATGACTATTGATGAGAAAAATACTCTAGTAATTGGTTCACATACATAACTCACTACACTTAATTAATGCGGTAGTTTTGATGAGACTATTTCGAGCGAATTCGGTTTTATAATGTGGATAAACGTAACGCAATTACGTTGACCCAGAAAGTAATCGGTTGGATATTTTTGATGGGAATTTAATTTCACCTAGATTATTTTAATGCTTTTCTTCCAGTTACCAGTTATTATTTGATGTTTTTGGAGTACAGTACGGAACCGATCTACTTCAGTTCTAAATTAATTAACTTAATTTGATTGGCATCCACTATGATGGGCACTTGAGTTTATAGAGTTTTAAAAAAAGCTGGCCAATATATAACTGATTAAAGGTATTGGTAGAAAAAAAGTCAACCAGCACTCTTGTTTATGAACACTAAATCTAATAACTTTTGACTGCGTAATTAATAAACGAATAGTCATGATGGGACATCTTTGCGATGTTAACGAACAAAGCATAAACATGGGATTCTTAAACTTTATGAACACTTAAACTTACTATCATATTCTAGTTTATTTTCTTTAATGACTTGGTCACACGACAACATATTCCATCTTAGTTGATCAGTTATCTGTCGTACACTAAATTCTTCAAATACGCTACTCATTATGCGTTGAAGCAAGAGCAAATGACTAACAGAAGGATGAGAACTGGTTACCCACCAACCTTGACGTGTCCGGTAGTTAGGTGGACGAGTATATAGATTTTCATTGCTCTGACTCAAAGAAGACCGAACGGACAATCGGGTAACTTCAATCTCATCTTCATAGAATAAATTTCCATTAACTACATATTTCTGATTCATCACAGCACTGAAACCACATTTACATCCTCGTGTAAAATGGAACCCAGACCCACCAACTAGGTCATGACCTCCAAAGGTTGAAGTGTTCGTTCGTCCTGATTTACTACAAGGTGACGTTGTAGATATTGAATTGGATAAGTAAAGACCAATTTCAGAGCCAAGTATGGATGATGTACATTCACAAATGTTACAGGAATCAAAATTATGGTCTTTGAATAAATTTAGCATAGAATCTGAAAGGATTAAATTTACTAAAAGTCCATTGGTTTCAAGTAGGCTGGATAACCACTCTGTGAAATCCTCCACGTAACTGGTGTTGGGATTCGTACAATCTGCTGACTTCACAAATCCTGTGATAGGACAGGTAGTTCCAGATTCATTCAGTTGTTGAGGTGAACAAGGTTTATTATTAGTGTTTGTAACATTTCGATGTAATGAAGTTGGAGGAAAAGAATTGGGAGACATTAACCAAGACTTAGATGTCGTAGACTGATTCCCAGTATTGACGATCAACCCATTGGGTGTGAAATGTGGATCCACACAATCTGATGAGACAGACTTTTGGTTTGATGCACGATGGTCGTACGACCATTTCAGCTGAGGTAGAGACTTTGAGAATGATGAAATTTCGTCATGAGGGATTTGATAGTTACTTGTCATCCCGAGATAGGCAGCGCAAGGTTGAACGAAAGACCAGTCCTGAAACAGACATTTATGAATCAGTTAGTTGTAAGCATATTTATGAAAATGGTGAGGAATAAACATTTTTGATTTTATTAAGGTTTTGAAGCTACATATATTTTGCTATGCTCAAATTATCCAAAATTATCAGATTATGGTACCAATGTCGATATTTAAAGCAGAATAGCAATAATAAACCACAACAGACACTTGATCAGCAGTATAGATTCAGCATTTGATAAAACAGAAAAGAACATATTTTCATCAATTCATTACTTAATACTCCAGCCAAACAATAAATGGAAACGTATGGTCAACCGAGTTGTAAAAGTGATAGTTCAAGCCATTATATCAAATTTGAATACTATTGTTCTTCTGGTTCATTGGCACCATTAGGTCTCAAGGAAAGCCTTAATATTAAAACTCAAGTGTAGTTATTAGTGGGTAATCTCATTATCGCTCCACCAATTGATTACGGAGCCATGTCAAGACGTGTCGCATATTGATTTCGAGAAAATCATCAGTTTGTTGTAGACATGTCTTTACACTATTCATCACTAAAAAGAGCCTACTTGAGATTCCATGCTGACGCTACCGAGGTTTTGAATGCATGGCAGTTTAGCAAGATGCCATAATCCTTGATTTTGACAAGATGATGGTGAATTGACAGACTGGAAGGGTACAGGAATCGAATGTGACGATGTGTCTGTTACGCTGGAAGATAATGAGTCCTGGATTGTTTGAACAGACGGAGAGCCCGGCCCAGGAGTGCTTACTGAAGTTGTTGAAGGGTTCATACGGTTGGTGGACACTGAGACACCATCAACAGGACTAGGTTGAGGTGCGTCATGGGATGGTGGTGTGGGAAGCATTAAAGCTAGTTCTGCTGGTCCGATCGGTCCAGAACCTGTACTGCTAGCAAGACTGACTCCTCTCTGAAACAAAATGTAGAAATAATAGAGAGTATTAATTTGATATGGAAGGGTGGTAGAAGACAAGTTCTCAAAGTTCACACTAATAGTGCACACGACTACTGATTCAAGAAGACAAAATTCGACTACACACATCTATCAGCTTGATTAACAGAGGTCATAACAGAAAAAGTAACATTCTTAGAGTACAGTTTTGTAAACTAATATGTTATGTTTGGGAACAATAACTGCTTTAAATACTACTTGAATGACTAAGTCAAGAAATGAAAGATTTGTGATGAGTTGATGGCACAAGGGTTTATTAATCGACTTCCTGAATCACCGAAAGGATTATAAATCACAATGTAATCAAAAATTAATCAACAACAGTGACTTAGAACCACTGAATAGTTTTGTTTCAATTACCTAGATAGATAATATACTGAGAAATGTCGATTAAAAGGATGTTACCTAAGAGCGAGTGAACTTTATCTGTAATGATGCACTTTTACAAGTTTTGTTTATATTATTCATGATTGGGTAAGCGATATAATCTACGAATTTAACCTGATTTGGCTTATTTTGAGTGATCTGATTGACTAAACTATCCCAATTGAAATATTTCCAGAAAGTTGGAGAATTGAGATAAACCTGATTTGAAATCTGCCTACATTTGTAAAGTGAAATCCTAAGCTGATTACGACTACGTCGTTTCACAAAGTATTAATAATTAATGTAAGTGATATTAACAGACATAAAATATATTGTAGCTTACTTCCAAAGACTTTAATTAACTTGTGTCAGAAGCAATTTATGACACCTTCCTAAAGGAACTGCTTCATGCACAGATCTAACAGCTTAGTCTGTCAAATGAAATATACAGCTCACTTTAATCATCCACCTCGATTAGCAACATACAATAATATTGATTGTACAAACAAATAGATGATTTGTCAGTAAATTAAAAAAACTTAATGAGAAATTTCAAAAGAATGTCAGCATATTTATTCCATAAATATCTCCGAAAGAAACATTTGGCATCATGACATATGTCCCTAGACTTGATTACATATAGATGTGAACAGACTTACGTGAGTGATCAGTCCAACGTTGCGACTGAAAGTGCCACTTGAATTATTCATGATGGAACCATTAGAATGCATCAGTCCAGAATGAGAATTTGTTTCCGATCCTCCCGGATTAATGTGTTGGTCATCAATTAAACCATTGCATTCTGTGACTCCGACTTTCATATCCGGGGAATCTGTAAATGAATAAGTGAGTTAGAGTGATACCACAATAACATTAGAAAATGTTGATGAAGTATGACAACTTACATGAATTGGCCGAAGTGAAGTTGACATTTGTGATATCTGTCGTGATTCCTTGTGCGCCATCATTCAAACTGCATTCGTTGAAATCAGTGCGGCAAATAGCAGTACGAAGGCGTTTGTTTCTAAACGAACTGGAAATTTTATAAAGCTCCAAATAGTGATTCTTCACATAACAACAATACATATAAACTCTCAAACATGGTGAGATTACAAACTAGCATATATCGAGTAACTACATAAATCTATCTTTACACTACTAAGGTAGTGTAGTACCAAGATAGTAGTGCCAAAATTGACAACAACACATCTGCCCCACTGTTGATAACTTGTTTTTCATCATTATCTTGACAACTCAGACAGAAAAGTGCTTTCCGAAATATTTCTCATGAAGTCGCAATTATCCAATGAGTCGGTCATGGAACAAAAGGATAAAATTGCAAAAGGCAAAATATTTCTTCCCGTTTCGAACAGTCCAAGATCTGAAAGTTATGCACTCAGATTAATAAAATATTTAATAGTAATTATTTTCCTTTCAAATACTTGATTATATACCCTAGGATGGTATGAGCAGATGGAATTTTTATCCAGTCCGTAAAAATCGGAACTAATCTGGAAAATGAAATCCATTCATGCATCGCTTTATCATTTCTTATTTCCCTTTAAAACCAGTAAAAGTGTATTTGCTTCTAGTTTTTCAAAAGATAGATGAGAGAGTATACGGCTAACAAAATATGAGCCGAATAGACTTCACCTGATTGATGAGAACCACATGATTTGCATAAAGTTCAACGGATTAAATGTATGGCTTAATTATAATTTGTCGGTGAGAGCAGTTTTGCTACATGTTTGTGAAACTTGGCATCACCAAGTTGAAGATGTTAGACGACTCACAATATTTCATCATCGATGTCTCCGAAAGGCTGCTGACATTCAGTGGCAACACCAGGTTAGTAATGCAGAGGTTTGGCAACGTATGTTCAAGAATAATTTATTTGGTGCCACTACTTCGAAACACCGACTTGGGCATGTACTACGAATGTCACCCCGGCGAGTTCCACATCGTGTATTACTTGCCGAACCTGAGACAGGTTGGAAAAAGCGGAGGTGGTCAGTGTATAACATGATTTCGTGATATAAAGGAAAGCTGTACAAGACTGACTTCTGTTGGATTTTCACAACACCCTGGCTGGGGTTCTAGATACGGTGCAGCACAGTGGCTTGAGAAGTTATCAGATACGACTCAGTATAGAAGCCGATGACAATCCTGATGTAACTTTCCTCATAAAAGTGTAAATTATTTAACTGAAAGAATTCTTTGTAGTTATATTTTTCTTAACTGAACTGCTCCTACTCCTACTATTATTATTTCACTCTTATACACTTATTTATTTATTTTGTCCTTCGTTTATTATATTCACTTTCTTTTACCTATTTCTTCACAACTCCCTTTTTAGTGTGTGGCGCATAGATATCATGATGCCCCTTTGTATTGATGTTTGTATGTCCAAAACAAATTAAGTAAATGAATAGATGACTTAGCACGAGTGTAGACAGAGCTCTCATACAACTAGAGATGTAAATCAATATTAGCGTTAGCAACAACAGACCTGAAATAATCTTCATATGTTAAGTCTGCTAGTAAAAAAGAAAGGATTACTCTAAAAAAACAGTGAAAAAATTCAGTTTGAAAACTGATCACTTAAAGCGATCGAAAAATCCCATCAATTGATATAAAAAAGTATGTTTAGATATTTTATTGACCACCAAGCCTCCTGTCCTTTCCAAACTGAAACTGAAACTGAAAACTGAAACTAAATTAACATGAACTTATTTATTTTGAACTAATTAATGTACTTTGAAACATTTACAAGACGAAAGCAAATGTGTAATTCGAGAATGGGTCAGGTTAAATGGGATGATCAGTACTATGTAATTATGTAGTTTTCCCAAACAGAATGAGTTGCTACTTAGCTCATTTAAGTTGTAACGTTTAGTTTTAGTCTTACTGAAATGTGAACATCATGATAGTTCGTGCAGAAGAGTGGACATAGCCATTCATATAATTAATTAAAAACACCCAAAACTGATTATTTGATGATTTAACTATTTACAAAAGAGCTTTGACAGTAATGCCACTTACTACTCGTCAGTAGTTACATTATTTTCTTTGTATAATGTATTGTCTTCGACAATACTATAATTAGGGAAGGATGGGGATGATTGCTCAATGGTAGACTGTAAAGTAATGCCTTCTGGGCATATACACTGCTCTCTTTCAATTCGATCTGGAATGTTGAGGCATAAGTTTGGACGCTTTATATCACTAGACGATTCTTTCTGCAATTCCTGGGCTGCATGTCTGGCTAACCAAGTATTGAATAAATCCCTTTTCATTACAGATACAGAAGCGATCGGAATGTGTCGGGCTGACATTTTTGCATATTGTGTTTGATGATCCGAAGAAACGGGTGAATCAGTGGTCACCAAACCGTTAGGTATCTAAGAGGAAACAAACAAGTTATTTTACACGATCACTTATTTTTACAATACAAAATAAATCCTAACAAAAAATATAACTCAGAAATATTGGTTATTTTGATGACTAGTGATAAAGTATCAATACATAGTTTATAAATGGCTCACTTAGCGTGATTCTCGGAAATCTAGGAGTTCCGACAGCAACTGTTGCTCATAACTTAAACGGCACCACTAATAGAGGTAAATCAAACAAGACTGTAAAGGAACGACAAGACCATAGCATCCATGGAACAATAACTAGTGTTAGCAAGAACAAAAAGGCTAATGAGCGTTGTTCTTATTTGCATATCCAAATTGAACTGATTAGGATTAGACAGCATAGTCGAGAGATTAGGTTAATCATACAATTAATCACACTCAGCATTTATTATGTGTACCGCTACGACATTTTGCTTATTCGAGTGATGCTGTTTTTATTTCTTACTGTTGTCCCTGAATTTCTTTTTTATTTACAATGAAACTAAAACATACATTAGAAACAAGTGAAAAAAATTGTACTTCGATCTTACTGTAAAACTATTAAAGCTTTTGTAGGATTCAATTCATCCTACATATATTCTACTGGGACTGTAAACACGATACTGGTAATCCCAGAGTCTATGTGGAAGCTATAGTCAGAAGAACTTGGTTTTAGACTTTATCTGTTTCTAAACGTAAAAACAATTCAATTAGCACAATAATTAAAGGGATTAGAGTCACTAAGTGGAACGCACAAACATACCGACCAGTATCGCGTCTTATCAAAATGAATAAAAAATCATGAGTCACACTGATATAATAATGTCCTTTAATTGGCAGGTTATATGCAACAAGGATAGTCTACAGACACATCCGACCAGATTGACGTGGTAGTAGCTTAAAGGACGATTTTATTGGTTAGTTGTGGACATAACTAACAGATTTGATTCACAATAACGACCTTATGCGTTCTTTCTTTACTAAAATATTATACAATGTAGAGCAAACAGTGGAGCTATGGCTTAATAACTAAGGCATCTGAGTTAAACTAAAGCGGCGAAAGTAAGAAATATCAAAAAACTTGTCACTTGAAATAACGTAAGAATACTATCTTTTGATTAAAAAAAGTTTGAATTATACTATATTTGTGTATATATTACCTTTACAACCGAAGATAAGTCTGAGTTACTTTCAGGTTTAGGAAGAAGTGATGGAGGTTGTGGCGCTGTTGAAAGGTGAGTGGATGAAGGTGTGGTCTGAGATGTATTCTGATCACAAGCGAGATCGTTATTTAATTCATTGAGGGTATTAGAACTAAGGTTTGAATTTTGGTTTGGAGCTGGTTGCTGTGGGCTCAGAGTAGGCATGGATGGATCATGGGTTGCAGTTAAGTTGGTTGTAATCATTGAGAGCGGAGTCCTTGGACGATCACAGGGCGGGACATTGAAATGAATAGATGACTTCAAGGAACGTCGGATAAAGGGGTCTTGCTGATGAAACGAACCACCAACAGAAGTGCGACGAACTCGAGAAAACCTGAAAGGATGGCCCAATAAAATATTTAGAAAAAATAACATGCAATTGAACCATTTTCACTGAATATTATGCTTAGTGAGTACACAGATTGTTAATAGTGGTAATGTATTTATCTTAATAGTAAGTCACTGTCGAGTATCCTAAAGGTTTATCAAAGAAGTGAATCTCATAAGTCGCCTGATACTGTTGGATCCCGTAGTGGTAATTTTAAAAAACTGAGCGATCACAAACACAGATGAATTTTTCGGGTGAATGTAAATTTGTATTAGACATTATTTACGAGTGAATAATAATTTCTGAGTGCTTAATATGAAAATTATAGTAAATACACGTTTTCTTATCTTACTATGCCTTACACTAAAATATGAGATTTTACACTGATAAATGCATTTAGTAACCAAAAAATATAAATAACAGCCATTTGCAGTTAAGTGGTTAGTAAAATGTATAATGATTTATCTTAAATTTTCGCTGAACATTACTCTTTAAAAACCATGTGGATGTGAAAATTAAATTAGTAAGAAAATTACCTGTTGCAGCAGCATTGCAGTATAGTACATGGGTCTTGTATGTACAATGAGCACATTTCTGGTGATACTGAAGTTGTGAGCCCATCAGTACTACAACTCATATCACTTTTATCAGTAGAACGTGACCGTTTTGATTGCCACTCTGGTTTCATAGAAGGAAGACGATTATGTTGCGATGCACACTGGAGAGTTCTTCCAGCTAGGTAGATATGACGAACATCTACCAAGAAATCAGACTGCAAAGAACTACTGGGAATAATTGATTTCAGCAAAGACGTCCCGGGTGTGTTCATTTTTATGGACGGGCGTTTTCTTCGTTTGTTTACTCGCCAGAAGCGTGATGTTTTCATCTTATTTGGAATATGGGCATTATACATGGAACATTTGTTCGACATATAGGGCGCTGATACGTTTGTAGATAAATTATGACCGGAAACGTCTGATAAATGAATCGCTTCATCGTAAGGTGTAGGGTTATAATCCGATTGACTAGGTGAATCGTTTACGGAGGTTATTAAAACAAAGCACATCGGGTATCTCATACGAAAACCATCTGTGAAGAAATACGAACCAATTACAAATAACGCATTTAAAACACACGAACCGACAAAGACAAAATATTTGTGCTATAATAAATGTACAGATGATGACAGAACATTTAGTGTCGTTCACTACCATGTCGATATTTAAGTACCTACTGTGAATGAGTTAGAATCTAAACATCCACACCTCCATCCATAAAATCACACCAAGAATTATTTAACCAAAAGCTTGAATAAAACATTGTATTGGATCAAAACATGTTTATTTCAAATATCATCTCACTCTGCAAATCCATTTTATCAGCAGGAAGCAGTCTGGAACAGTAGTAGTAAAGGCATTTAACTTGACGATTAGGTTCTACGTTCAGATTATGATGGATTTACTGTGATCTGAGCAGCAAAACACTATTGTTAATCCACAAAAAAATGAGTACACGACCCTATAATCGACTAATGGGCTGTCATCTGAGCATAAAGACAGAGTACATTATCAGAGGTATTTCAGCTCCCTAAACCTGCACTCACTATAAATACAAAAACAAAACCAACTCATCCATCACGTACTTATTATGAGCCAAACTTTCATTGTGATAATTAATGAGACTACTAGGTTGCCTAAACCTAGGTTGGTAATGTATGGGTCGAATTCGGGACTTAGTGGTCAAATTTTCGACACTTTAACCACTAAGCCACTGAAACGCCAAGATGACTGTACAGAAAAAGGTGTTCAGGACTTGTATTCTTCGAAACATGGAGGAAGTAATCACCTCTGTTCATCAAACCATTTTAGAGGCACATGTAATATACTTTTATCCCGGAGAAATACCTTACGAAGTGCCTAGAAATGAACACGATTAACAGAGTGCCGTGCATACATGTAATGTACTAAATAATATGTTATTTTCCATCGAAAGCACCTTGGGAATTCTATAGATTATTACTTGGTAACTGTATATCTACCATCTACTAGGAACAAACGCCGCATTAGTATGTCGTTAAGCTGTTGTACATGTAAAACCTACGCATGAATTTCTGCAGTAAAGTCACGCAGATTTTGTCAACTAATTCCAAATCTAGTGACTGAGAAAACTCTACTGAATGAACGCACATACGAAATATTTTTTTATTTTATTTAAACACATAAATATGGGTACAAAAAAGCACCAGATAAATATGCGCCATAAAAATCTCATTCGATTTGAGTGAGAGCTATGATACTACCCAGGTGCCCGAACTGAAGCAGGTGGTTTGCTTAGGGGGCCACACCCAGAACCTTTGACCGAAAGACCTGATCCACAAGGCAGTGGAGCATCGTGAGGAGATGCAGTCCCATGGTAGCCGGTGATCAACGATTGATTCGTACGCCATTTGTTCCCTCAGGATACTGGAGTTCATGTGCACCATTGGTTTGGAATCAGGGTTTTACAACTCCCTAGGTGGACCCTCCGTGTCCACCAACCCGGTTAAAGCGCCGGACATTCGCTTTTCGTCCTCTTAATTTCGTAAACAACAGTAATGCCACGAGAAGGCAGTGAGTAGGACTTCCTTGGCAGAGGCTATATATTCGCTGGCCATGTGAGAGCATTTCGAGAGGGAGAGCGGACTCTCCCCTCTTGGCCGTACCAGGGCATTTGGTTACTTACTGAGTAACCTTCGAAATTGTAAAAACCATCCCGAAGTCTAAATGTTCAATAAGTCTGAGTTGCACGCCTGGTGTCCTTTAGAAAAAGCAAATTATAATTACTTGATATTCAATAACAGTTTTTGAGCATCTAAGTCTCATACTACTTGCAACCATTGCATCACATAAATAGTGGATATTCGTTAGACGTTTCTGCTGTTGCAGTAAGTGATAACCCATAACTAACAAGCCTCTCTTACTGTTTATAAGTAATTCAGATTGGGTAGTCTCATGTCTCAATTACATGTCCTCGTACACTAAGAGTGAATTATGGATTAGATTATCTGAGTGGGTTGTCTACATGGCTTGGGGATGATTCGAAATTGATACCACAGATTTTAGCGCTAACTTACCAACGATCACTTCAACAAATTTGGGTGGGGTATCCGGAAACCGTCGATTGATTTCTTCTACTGTCCGCTTCTTATCACTACTAAATTTATTCTGCTGACGTGGATTCTGATGTGTAGGAGTAGCCATAGCAAAAAACGGCAGACCAGTTACGCCACTCATAGCAGGGTCACATTCGTGACTGGACTTGAGGGGGTAAAAAGTCGACCATGCTTCTGATTCAACCATCAGATCTCCGTCCTTTTTTTCAAAACCAAAGCCGGTCAGTTTTGCAGATATTCCATAAGGTGCCAGGATAACTAATCAAGTCAAAATTTACGGAGAAATATGTTTGTTTAAATATGAAAGAGTGCAAAACAACACGATTCTGAATGGACGTTTATAAATTTTAGTATATTTATTTCGAAATATAACCCGTACTTGTTTTCATAAGTTAAGCCAACTAACGGTGAAGTGTTTAAAAATGATCGTACAAAAACTAAAGGAAAGTGAGATTGAAGTTGACCTTTGAAGTAGACAAAATATGAGTGAATACGGCAGCATTATATTCGATAGGTTCGTACATTACCACGTTTGTTTTTAGGAAGTGCCTTTTGATACCAAATTCTGAGGATCACTGTCATATATTTGTCTAACGAACGAATTCACCGATAGGAAGTAAAAAACTCGTAAGCTCGTAACGCGGAACTATGAAATGAATTCGGTTTCAGATTACATCACTGGAAAAACATTACTTGTGAACCTAATATTGTGAATAAGCCTAAAACTAATATCGAATACATGTGATTAAAATATCAAGACACCAAGAATAACAAACAACAATGAGACTAATGTAGTTCCTACTCAATAAACACAACCGAGTTAGCTAACTGTAACTTAATAACGGGATAACCTATATTGTAATAGCACAACCCGTATAAATCGTGACTATCTGAATAAAGATGTTTTGCATATAAAACAATATATCCGTCACAACAGTTGATGGGTTTATTTGATATTTATGTCAACTACGTCGGAAGTTGGGACCCCTTTGTACTTGCTTCAATCAGGCAGTTAGTGTCTCTGACTTTTAAATCTAACAATCATGATGCAAGATCGAGTACATAAGCATGAACCAGGTTAGTTATCAAGATAGTGGCTTCCGGTCAGTCAAAAGCAAAATAACAAACTTATAGAAATGTGCATTGTCCCAAGTCACTGCAGAGCTTGATAAAATTACAAAAATGGATAATGAAGTGGTCTAAATGTTATCAGTGATAGTAAAAGTATTAGAAAAAGAAAATCCAGGCAGTAAATTGACAGAATGAAAAATTAATTTCCAAACTCTGGATACGAAGGTACACAACAGGTGAATGCACCCGCGCAGCTGCGATCTATTCGTGGCCCAGATACAGTGACTCTAGAATGCATGAAACTCTGGATATTGAAAAGTTCGATATTAATAACCACAAACATAAAAGTAACCTCACTAGTAAGTACAGATTATAGCATGTGAATAAAAAGGAATGCAGCTGACACTAATTAGATAAGAAAGCCGAAACAATATCTCTAAGATAATTACAGTTACGCAACATCGCACTTTTATTCGGTAAAGCATTAATAAAATGGGTATAGTGGTGGACATTAATACATCTTAGCTACTGAAGGATGACACTGGGTCTATACCACTCTGACCACACAAAATACGGAGAATGCTATGCACTTAATCATCAGTACAAAAACTGACATATAACTACGATAAGCGCTTAATATGGAAGCAAATTGTGCATTACATATTAGATACCTTAAGGAAGACCTACCAGGTATGGTTGATTGACTTGCGATACAACTCTGGATGTGTTCGACTCCAACTCTTTGGACGGCAGCATGTTGACGAATGTCGAGGCTGGCACACACTGTACTCTCACCGTGTAGGAAAAACGAAAAACTGACACTATACTGTACGCTAAGAAGAATTAAACTTATATCATTTGATCTTACTTGTCATCATTGCAACCGCATTTACGAGGTTGTACAAACCATTTGCCCAAGCGCACAAACCCTTTAGTAAGAAGACATCTTTAAGTATTAGATCAAAGACCTGTGTACAAACCTTTCAACAACGTTGTGCAAAGCCCGGAACAAGACAGTTCTTGTTTCATATGATAGGCCTTGTCGCCAGTTTCCATGGTCCTCTCTACGGAGTTCTGGCAGTATACAACTATCAGCATTTGGAAAGTCATCGTTTCCATACCAAAACACCCAGAGCTCTTTAGCAAACTTAGAAAAAGCGCAAGGATTTGATAAGTCAGATGACTCCGGCTTCGAGCGCACCCAGGCTGAAAGAACGCCATACTTTTGGCACAGTGTGTATGACTTAATGATAGGATCGTTTAGAGGATCATGATATTCCTTAGGAGTATGAAGGATGTATTTTCTGTACTGTATACCACTGAAATCAGTCTATAGAAAAACAGTGATTGGTTAAATAAACTTCAAACCGCATTTCATTGAAAAAACCTTATATAACAAGTACTTACCAAGGCGAAAATATTAGTGAAGCAATGCTCAAGTGAAGCATCATTAGGCCCTGTCGACTGGCTCATACTAGACATATTACATGGAGCTCACTCCATTGCTACATTACTATTTCTAACTAACCACCTAAACCAAACGCAAAATATTCCGCCATGCAGACAGGTATCGCATTACTTCCTGAGACACTCAAACAATCAGTAGGCTAATATGTTGATTATTCTTGAGTCATCATCAGACTAATAGGAAAGTACTATCGGTTATGAAGTCAAGAACCATACACCAGTTCAATCATTATGTGCAAGATTGTTCATTGGTGTTAGGTCAAACAATAAGGTAAGAAATGTTCAATTTTCAATGTCCACATGAGGATCAGACTTTCTGCACTAATAACACGAATTTACGTGAAGCCAAAATATGTTTTTTCGCATGCCTACTGGAAAAAAATAGTTTTCCACTTGTCCATAAAAGCAATATAATCCACGCAATGAAAACATCAGTCAACGTTAAAATGTGTAAAATTAACTCATGACATCAGCGATTGTCTATTATAACCACATTATTTCGATTGAGTTCTGTAATTTTAAAGTCCTTTACGTGATTCCATGAAAATCAAACAGTAATTGGAATGTGAGGTCGTTTTTACCAGACTTATTATGCAAATATGATTTTTCAATGATGATTGAAATTTCAATCACATTCGTGCTATCTCTAATGTATTTGTAGCGGTAAACAGAATAAAAACAAACAGTTCTGTAAGTCTTCGACACTCGATGCTGATCTCACTAGTTTTACTGGACACACCTACCTGAAGGCGCTCGGCCATACATCACGTGTGGGTACGCTATGACACATATATCTTATACGTAATAGCCAGCTTGAACCAAACGCTTCTAAACACATTGACAGCCTTCCAAACATATCTTCGAATTCCATCATTTCTGACTTCGATCTAACTGAGTTGGTATACTTTGAAGGTGTTACGTGTAAAGGCGTTGTCAAATTCTGAATACCTGTTACATCTTGACATCTTTTCTATGTCGGTTTCGGAGTTTTGACTGGTTACAATACATATGTCCTGTCATCCTAATCACTACTGCGAACCAAGGAGCACTGTTAGGCTATTTCTCACTGCTGAGGAATGCTGTTCTACAACGAAACAGCTCTCTAGTGCTTCGGTTTGTGACTTAATCTATTAAACTTTTAACAAATATTCTGTTACAATGACTTGTTTATCGTCCATTCTTTTGAACTTCCCCAATTTACGCTCACTAAGAATCTAGTTGTAGAAACTAGGTATGTTAAATTTTTTTTGACTTTTAGTTAGCTGAATTAACTGGCTGAATTTGCATTTTTGAACATGCGTGCCATTTTGAGGAACTTACTGGTCACCTAAAATGCCTATTACGTCCTGACGCCAGCTACTTTGACAATATCTCCTTCCTCTACCTCTACTAGTAAACGACATGTCATATATCAGCTAAGTGGCTGCAAAAAAATCACAAATGTAATGACCATTCACATATTTATTGATCAATTATTTAATCGGGGTTAATAATTCTGCAAATTAGACTAAGATCGATAAACTCATTTTACTTTCACCTCATTATAATCATAATCTCAACATACTTTGAAGTTAGCTTGAATGGTATGGTTGCCTAATATACACGATATTACGTTAAACCTGCACTGCCTAGTAATATCACTGTCCGGTCTACTATAGCCTGGTAAACAAACCAGGCTACAAATAAAATCTTGCCAAAGAAAGTACGACACTGAATGTGACTGACCTGCCTCACGTGCTGATTCTATTCAACCAATCACAGTTACTCGTCATCGACTCTGACGGCTCATGATAGGTGGTTCAGCGTCAAGTCATCAGTCTACAGAGGAGTCATGTTTTAAATATATTTAGCCGGGTGATTCTCTCAGAACACTTTTAATAACCAGACGCGATGACAGATTTGGTCATAATCCTGTGATGCTTCCGTAAAGAACCTATAAATTTACCTGCATATTTAAAGGAAATGTTCATATAACTTCTGTCTTCAGAGCTCAATCATAGTGTTATATGCTGTCCCTAATACCCACAGTGTGATCCTGTAAGAAAGATCGTCGAATATCAATCGACAACATGTCACCTAGGCTGAAATTCCTCACCATTTTGCACAAATGTTCCATGAAGCATACTCTTTAAAAATTTGATGATTGTTATAATAACGATACAGTGGAATTGGCACTGCACAATTTCTATTCTGTCTGATGCCTTTTCACATCCATAAGTTTCGGGACAAATCTGTGAAATAGCTGGAAAAACTGACAGCTTCAGAAGATTTCAGATTGAATTGTGATCGACTGAATGCGGACTAGTGAGGAAGTTTTTCAAACTTCTGCAACATGGAGACAACAGTTTTAAGCCTATAAGTCGTCGATATAACCACATTGCTAAAGGCTGTGAATGTGGCACATTGTGCTACGTCTTGAAGTTTCCGTTCTACCTAACTGTAAGTTCAACAACCAGAAAAGGAATACAATCCGCTACTTCATTCTTGTACAGCCCGGTAGGTAGGGTTTTTTATATGTTTTCCCCTCAAGAGACTTTTGCAATCTTTCCAGGTTGGTCGACATCAGCCATTGAGTACTAGTGTTAACTCTTCGTGGAACGGCTGGACTAACCACATGTTCGGGTAACTTGGCAAATCGCCGTATCCAGAAGCACTAAAATGAGGATAAAAGGAACGCTTAGAAGACCGAGTTACATCTTATTCATGCCCCGAAAATAGGTTGCGAGCCAGTTTCTGGCTTGAAGAACATCTCTAAACACGATCTCTCGTACAGAATATTTTCTCATTCTAATTAAAACAGTTAAATACGACAAGACCAAAGTAGGCTAGGTTTTTCCCCTCCTTTCTTTTCAGCACCACAAATATGACACGCGAAGGTGGAATTGGAGCAGATCTGCACTCGCTAAGGTTGCATTTTTCACGAGACCCATTTTTGAATGGATTATAACAGCCACGATCTACTCACAGTACTAATGCACAAATCAATTTATTAACCTGTTGGTATATTTTCATGAATATTCTACCACGTATTTTCAAGGATCTTGTCTGTTGAATAATTACACTTCATCAGTATTTTATCTGTAATCCCGTGTTGCAAATCAATGATAATGCCCTTAGAGATGGTGTGCATGCCATGAAATTTATATGTTGCTATTGTTAAGTGAAGATCTCCTTCATATCCTGGTAAAATTTACTTAACAATGATGGTATGTTTTCAAATAAAATAGAAGTTCAGGTTTGTAGTTGAACACCGAGTTGTTATTCATCAGTTGATGTCTTTAGACCAGTGAAGACACGTTGAATCTGACAAACACCCTCCCGAACCGATGCCGAGAAGCCCACGGAAATAAGTTCATTTAAAACCCTTGCTTGACAGTCTTTCATTCTTGAGGAGTATAGAGATTTTAAAGACAACGGGACATTTCTGGGAACACTGTCGCGAAGCGAAAGTAGACCCACTATTCGCCAAAACTATAAGAGTTATGGAGTTACTCTTTCACTGTAAACGATGTGCATACTTACCTATGAATGTAAGAAAATGCTCAGCGATTTTTCGGTCTTCGAAACCTTTCTAGTGATGCTCCATATTTCAAACAACGAAAAACAATGTGCATAGTATCCATCACTATATATTCGAATTACAAATACTTCACGTTTTTATAGAGTTCTGATGTCAGTTTATCATAAAACCAGATTTTTAGTAAATTGTTGTCATCGTTTTCAGTGAATTTAGTGAAGTATGCCACGATTTCAGTTTCCTGATATACTTTCTTGTCATAAGGCTGATTATGAATCAGTTCTTGTAGTCCTTTTACACATTGCTTACTAAAATGACCTCTCATTTTCTATTACCATACTCTGTCGTTTCAGGGAGCATTTCTCTACATAAAAGGTGTAATGTTTATTGTCGTAAAAGGGTCATTTACTGTAGGAAATGTCCCCAGTTAAAAGCCTTTAGATATAAAAGTATGAAAAAAATTATTCAGAAAAGTCACATTTTTTATATGTACAGCATCATGAAATGAACAATACTAGAATTTATGGTACTGCCTCAAACCTGGTGTGTATTAGTATGTTCCCAAGACGAAGGTTGTGGTGCATGTAGTGATAGGTCTTCTGTTGTTTGTACGAAAAGTAAGTCACTATGTGGGTCTAAATTCCAAATTCATTGATCAACACAGACTGATAATTAGCGGTCACAACAATTTACTTACATTACTGGAATGACATTTCATAAGAGGCA